CCACCATTCCAAAGGGGTGCCGCCCTCCACTGTGACTGCATCCTCCACCCGGTCGGGGCTCCTCCTCTAGGGCATCTGCTCTGCACACGCCCACAGCTCTCGAGGCTCAGGGTCTGCAGTGCAGGGAGTAGTGGAAGGAAGCCGGCGCACTGATTTGCAAAACCAGGCTTCCTATCCAGACTGGTGTCCCCACCCACAGCCTCAGGTGTGGCCGGAGCAGAGCCCCAGGGCACCTACTCACTGGCCAGTTGAAGGAGACGGCTGTAGTCGGGCACATGGGGTTTAGGTTTTGGCACGGGGTCCCACTCTTCCAACATGGTGGCTGGGACCCTAGGTTTTGCCAGCCGGAGGGTCCGTGAGCTGGGGACTGCCATCTGGGCTGCCCTGGACACCCGGGACACCTGGAAATAGGAATAGGGAAGGAGCCAAACAGTCCATGACTGCTCACTGACCCTGGAGCAGAGGATCCCATAAACAACACTGAAAGATAAGAAACAAGAAATCTGTTTGCAAAAACGTGATGGCCATCATGTGTAAAGGCCTGCCTCAAATCAATAATAAAAACAGGGAACGGGGTAACTGAGATAAAAGAGTGGCCCTGAGTGGTCAACAGTCCTCTTACTGACCAGGGAAATGTACATTAAGCATAGAATACCACTCCATGTCCACACATTTGAGGGGAAAAAAAAGGCCTGACGTTACTGAGCCCAAGCGAGAAGGCCGGCGGGCGAGTGCCGGAGTAAGTGCACAGCTCTAGAGAGCGTGCCACGCACGCCCACGCACGCCCACGCTCAGAGAGCACAGCACTGGGCCCAGGCAGCAGAAGTGCTGGGGTCTGCAGGCCTGGGTACACATTCCAGGCAAGCCACCGTCCACTAGCAGGGGCAGGTCCACTAGCGGTAAGTCCTTCAGTGGGATGTGGCCCAGCACTAGCACTGCTCTCCAGCGACCCCATGGGGATCCCTCTGGGATCCCTCGCGTGGAGGCACGGACAGGTGCTGCTGGCACACACGAAGCCCAGCCCCACCGTGGGTGCCAGCTGTGGTCTAGCTGTGGGTGTGGAACTGTGCCACACCGGCCAAGCTGGGACAAGGTGGGGCCTGGCAGGAGCTCACCTAGAAACCTGACAGATAATTCTAGCGTTTCCCAAAGAATCCGTGCTCAAACAAAATTGGTTTTCCTCAACTCTGCCCTGGCTGCTCCGAGCCCCCCACCAGGGTTGGCAGCTCCCAGGCAGCTGGCTGCCTCCTCTTCTCCCATGAGACCCCTTCAACCCTGGACCCTCCGCAGCCGGCCAGGTGGGGACTGAGGGACTGCAGGGAGGGCTGCGGAGGGGCAGGAAAGAGGTGTCAGGTGTGCCAGCGCCTGGGGGTTGGGGAAGGAGAGGAGGGCCCAGCTCAGAGTGCCCAGCCCTGAACCCAGGCTCAGAACTGGACCTTCTCTGGAGGTCTGGGCTGCCAAGGTCCTAGTGCTCAGGAGTAGTCAGGGGCTGGGCGAGGAAGGCAGGGCAGGCGGGGGACGGAGCAGGCAACCAGGGCCTGACCTCCTCTGGACCCAGAGGCCACCCACCCAGGAGAGCTGCAGCGTGGGCAGGTGCTATGGAGGAGCTTCACCCAGGTCGGGTGGCTGCTGCTGGCCTGTAACCAGCCTGGCTGTCCAGCCAGTCACGGCCAAGCAGTATGCAGCTCCACGGGAGGCTGGACTGCAAGAGGGCGCCACCCTGCGCTGGCTGCAGCTGCTGTGGGTGCTCTGCACAGGTTGGGAGCCAGACACCCGGGACCCAGAGATCCCATCCCCAGGGATGGCAAGGCCTGCATTCCAGGAAGCCTGCTGTGGACATTGGAACTGGAATGGCAGAGGCCTCCCTGGCCAGCAGGAGATAGAGGGTGGCTGCCCCAGCTGACAGGGGCCTCACCCCACCCACCAAGGGTGAAGCCCTACTTCCCTGTGGTCAGAGATAAGGGTCAGGGTCTGGAGCTCTCCAGACCTGCTGGCCAGCAGGACGCACTCTCGCAGGGCCAGCAGGACGTGGGCACTTCCGCCGGGCGGCAGCGCAGCGCTACTGCTGAGCCACGCCCAGCCCTCCACCTCGCAGCAGCCTGGCCCGGGCTGAATGGGAGGCTTTGAGGTGACTCTGGGCCCACAGGGGCAGGGCAGGACCGCCCAGAGCCAGCCCCAGCCCAGAGAGGGAAACAGGCAGGACCTGCCAGCACAGCAGCAGGCCCCAGGCAGCCCCCGCCCCGCCCCAGGGCATGATCCCGCCTACCTCCGACATCTGAATGCTCCAAATGTTGTTCCGGATCTTGGGGGTGGCCAGCTCCTTCAGGCGGTTAGAGCTTTGGTACTCCAGGGTGGCTCGAGGGACGGGCCACGTGGGCGTGGTCCTGGGGGAGCGGCAGTTAAGAGGCCAGCCCACCCCGGGTGTGCGGGTGTGCGTCCCTCCCTGTGAGCCTGTCTCTCAGCCCTGTTTCTGGGATGGGGGGAAGCTGAGAAAGGGGGTCTGGCAAACCAGCCCCCAGAGGAGACTCTGTGAGCCCAGGACAGGCCTCCCTTGGCCTCCAGCGGGTTGGTAGGGCAGCTCTTCCCAGGCCCTCCCACTGCCCCGGAGCCTGGGGAGGACGCGCACTCCAGGGACAGAGCCTTTGCCGAGCTCCCCAGGCCTGCTCCCGAAAGGCCAGTCCCAGCTCCGTCTTCCCAGGAATAAGTCCCCGCTTCCCCGCTGGGCAGCCTCCCCTGGGCCTGTCTAAGGCTGGAACACATGGGCCGCCAAGTCCGCGGGCCAGGGCTCCCCAGTACAGCTCAGAACCCGCAGAGACAGAAGGCGCCTCTGCACGTGCAGGCTCCGGGCCGTCCACGTCTGCCTCCAGCGATGGACGATGGACGGACGGGTGCAGGCTCAGGCGGCCTCAGCCTCGAGGGCTTCCCTGTGGGCACGGCTTCCAGGGTCAGGGGGCTGCGGCGGTCTGCCGGGAGTGGGCGGGAGGAGGTGGCCCTCGGAGGCAGCCCTCCCCTCACCTGTTGTTGTTGTAACACTCCAGGTAGAACCTCCGTGGCCGTGCCAGCTCCTCCACCCGGCGGGACACCGCTAGAGAGGGAAGCCGCCCAGTCACGGGGGCCATGTGGGCCCCACGTGACCACTGCCCTCTCCCCGGTGGGGACTAGGCAGAACTGCAGTGAACTGGGCGGCTGGGCCGCCTGTCAGAGGCCACTTCTGCTGCCCACAGGAGCGAGGACAGTGGGCAGCACCAGGGAGTGTGGGACCCCACGCAGTTCAGACTGGAACTGGGGTCTGGCTGAGGTTAGTGGGAGCCCTGGGGCTCGTCCCTGGAGGGCAAGTGGATGAGCCTGCAGTCCACTACTCCCTCCAGGGCACTGGCCACACTCAGGGCAGAGGCCACGGGGAAGGAGGACAGGAGTTCGTTCCTGTGCAAGTAAATGCTGGCTGCCCACACCCCTCGTCCCAAGATGGGTCTCAGGGGCTCTGGAAGCCTGGGACACGTCCTGGGAGGGAGCCCAGGAGGAGCTGTGTCCCCAGCCCCAGACACCCACAGCCAACACACTGGCTGAAGCCCAAGAGGTCCACCTACCAGGAACAGTGATGGCCAGAGTGGTGTCCTTGAGAAAGCGCTCGGTCCAGTACACGGAGGGCCTGGAATACAGCCACAGTCAGGGTGGCAGCCGGGCGGGCCTCCCTCGCTGGGAGGGAAGGCGGGTGCCCACAGCACCAGCAGCCCCTGAGGCAAGAGGAGGGGCAGTGGGACAGGAGCCCCGCCGGGCAGCGTGGTCCTCGGGCAGCGTGAGGGTAGGCAGCTGGAAAGGAAAGGTGCAGAGGGGCACCGCCAGCCTGGCCACAGCCCCACAGGCGCCCTCGCACGGCACACGGGTGCCACTCACCAGAAGAGGCAGAACTGCAGGTTGGTCTGGCGTGGGGACATCCAGGCATAGCCCTCACAGCGGCACCCCCTCCTGCGACGAGAGGGTCCCAGCCCTGCCTGTGGCTCGGGGTTCACCTGTCCCCACACTCCTCACTCCTCTAGACCTCACTGCGGGGCCCCAGAGCCACCACCCGGTGAGGGCCTCCTGGGTGTCCTGGCCCCAGGCTGGAGCCCACTGCCCTGAGGCCACGGCCGGGTGGGGGCAGGGAAGAGGATGCGAGGGCCAGGCGCCCCTCCGTGCCAGGGACCAGCTGGCTACTGCCCTCACCTGTCCCTAGGTCCCTGCCAGTTGGTCTTGGGCTTGGCCAACTCCAGCAACCTCCGCTGCCGCCGCCTCTTGCCCCTGGCCATGGAGACGCTGGGGGTCTCCTCCGTGAGCGTCAGCCGGCTGTGGGAGAGCCTGGGGTTGGCTGGCTGCCCCAGGGTGAGGGGACGCCCGCACCCCGCTCTGGGCTTCCAGCATCTCGGGAGCACTCATGTCTGGGAAGGTGGCCCTGGCCGTCACCTGGCTCTCGGCCCCAGCGCAGCCCCCGGGAGAGCGTCCTGCGCTGGGCAGCCTGGCCTGGGGCGGCACTGGCCCACCTCATGTCTGAGGAGGACCTGCTGGAGGCCAGAGGGGCACTGAAGGCCCAAGAACAGCCCCCGCCTCCCAGAAAGCAGGAACAGGGCAGGGGTCTGGACACAGGCTTCAGGGGAAGCAGCTCCCTCCACAGAAGGCACAGCCCACCTCATCTCAGGCACGTCCTCCTCGGAGTCCAGGGACGCCGCAGGACCAGGGGCCTCCAGGAGCTCCTGGCCTGCCATCTCCTCAGAGGGAATCTCCTCTTCCGGGCCTTGGAAGCCCAGCTCAGCCTCCGGAGGGTCTTGGAGCCTGGGCTCCAGCAGCCGCAGGCCCCCAGGGGCACCGTCCTCGGGTTCCGCAGAGCTGCGGCGGCCACTGAGCGAACCTCGCCAGCGCTCCCCCATGAGCAGGCCCCCTCAACCTGGACCTGCAGCCTCCTGACCCGCTCCCTCAACACCCAGGTTGCCTCACCGTGGCAACAGGAGAATGTCCCAGCAGACCCCGCTCAGCATTCCACCCTGCACTGGGCTCGGCAGGCAGGGCCGGTGGGCCCCGTGCAGGCCCCACTGGTGTGGGCTCACTGAAGTCCTCACTCTCCAGGGCCAGTTCAGAAACTGTCCCTGACCTGGCTCAGCAGCAGTCTCTAAGCTCAGCTTCCTGCCTGTGAGAGACACCGGAAGGGCCACCTAGGGCTCCTGGCTCTTGTGGGTGAGCCTGTCTGTAATTTCTGGAGCTCGGGCAGCTGTCCAGTGTCTGGGAGAGTGCAGGCCTGAAGCCCGAGAGCTGAGGGAACCTGGAGCCGGCTCTGGGTCTGGGCCTCCTATTACCTAAACACCTAAATTCTTAGTCATTGTCAATGGATTCAATTCAAGTCACTGTATCTGGGGTTTGCTCCTTAGCAGAAGGATCCTGGGTGTTGCAGACGCTTCCAGCTCCAGATGCAGCACCTGGAACTAAATCAACCTCTGTGATCCCCAGAGAAGCCACCAGCCCCTCCTGACTCCCAGGAAGCACAGTGGAGAGGACAGGTCCAGAGCAGCCACTGTGAGTTCTTGTGCACAGGTCACCCACCTAAGTCACCTCGCCAATCAACCTCACACCACTGGAGGACACAACGACAGGATCACAGAGGCTGGAGGGGTACGACCCTGTTAGCCCAGAGGGAGCGTTGGGGGCTTCTGCTCAGATAGCAAAGTCACAGCACAGCACAATTGCTGAAGCCAGCAATTGTGCCTGAATGTTGCTGGGAGTGATTCTGAACAGGGAAGGAGGGCCTGTGGGGGAGGAAGCTGGCTTGGAGAACAACTGGCCCTGGGGCAGTTCTGGGGGTCAGAGGCCAACAGGGCTGGCTCCCTCCCAGCAGCCTCCAGGTGGGTGCCTGTGGCTGTGAGGCAGGCAGCTTCTGGGGGTCCTTGGCAGCTCCCAGAGGCATCTGGGTCTGCAAGCCTGTGGTCATTCAGCCAGCACCCCACCACATCCCTGAAGGCATGGGTGCAGGCATTCGGCCCACTGGTGGTCGGTGGTTGGGGGCGCTCTGACCACCTGCAGACAGAGGTCTACTGCTGAGTCAGAGCAGCAGGGCGGGGGGTGGGGTGGGGGGTGTTGGGGGGGGCACCTGCCTCCTACCATGCGGCTCCAAGGGAACTCAGGACCCGCACACCAGCCAAGCTTCAAGCCTGCTGGAATCAAGGTGTCCGTCTGTCTGCCTTGGCCTAGGGAAGGCACGGGAACTGCAGGTCACGGATGGCCACTGGTAAATGACACTCATCTGAGCACTTCCAGTTATCAAGACACCGCAGGGTAAGGAGGAGCAAGCCACTGGTGGGAGACTGTTGGCACACACATGCTGGTTCACACCCACAACGAAGAGGTGACTCCATCAACCCCGAAAGAAGAAGAAAACCACCGGGGAAAAAAGGCAAGAAGACACAGGGAGTTCGGCCTGACCCCGGAAAACCCTGGGCCTTTCACAGAGGAAAACCTGGGGGCCCGGGGCCGCGCAGGAGCCCTCGGCGGACCCCGGCCG